GCCATTTGGGGAGTGAACCAGTAGATCTCTCTCTTTCTGTAACTCTGTCTTTCAAATAAAAAATAAATCTTAAAAAAATAAAAAAAGATGACAGGAAAGAAGGGAAGGAAGAAGTGAAACTATTATCAAAGAAACCATTTTTACTTTGTGTTTGCTTTTGCATAAGATTTTTCATACTGCTATGTGTGTAGTGTATATTTGTGTTAGATTTAACCTTCCCACTCACCTCTCCTAGCCCCACTCTTACCTACTACGGTTCATTTCTTCCAGATCCTCCTATATGCCTGAAATCAGACATGCAAGCATCTTACTTTTATTAAATAAGTAATATGGGTTAATACTACACACATTGTCCTACTGTATTTGCTCAATATATCGTGAACATACACAAAGATCTACCTCATTTCTTAACAACTATAGCACGTTCCATAAAACATGTGGACCTTATTTTTTAACTTCCCATTATATATGGACACGTTCTTGTTTTTGAATACTTATGCTGCAATAAGTGTTAATTTGACTTCAGTCTTCTAAAGAATGTCAAAATCATGGTGCCACCATCACTGATTATAGTGTCTGTGACAGCTTTCCAATGGAGCAATTGACAGAAACCATGGTACCATTTGTGTGGGACCCTGTTCTGCCTCCTGGTTCCCTTAGCCCTTGTTAGGGTTAGAGGTTGAGAAGGCAGTGACATGGCACACAGGAGAGTCTCAGTCTCTGCTAACCTAACGGAGTGTAAGTGTCCCTAGGTCCCTCAATTCACCTTCCACTTACATAAATTACCTCTTCAACTAGATTCCATAAGCTTCTGCAACTTTTCTCATCTTGCTGTGAATTATTCATAAAGCTGTGTTCTAAATGCATGTGCAAAATCAGCCAGATGAGGTCCTGGGAAAGCATTTCCACCAACTGTCCCCTTCTCTTTTTCTATAGGCATTGAAGTGTCCTAGTAGCCCACCAATACATGCGTATGGTGGGGGAATATTGTCACAGCCGGACACTGAGGTTTACTTCCCAGTTAGCTAGGCTAGAAGGGTCTTTTCGCTGGGTGTCTTAAACTCCTGGCCCCCTGGTCACCTCCTCTTCCTCCTCCTCTGGCTCCTGTTGCTTCCTCTGCCCTCCTGACCTCAGCTACCAGAAGGGAGATGAGGAGAAGCAAGCCTGGGCCTTCCTCCTGCCATCTTCCTTCCTTCAAGCCTCCCCACTTCCGACCAGCCCTGTGTGTGTGGTTTCACTCCTACTGCGGATTCATTTTTGGACTCTTCCCTCCTGCAGGACTCAAATGGATGCTAAAAAGCCACTGAAAAAAAGTGTGACTTCCTTCCCGATTTTGAAAACAAGGAAGAAGCAAAATTTCACCTCTGTGAAGGTAAAGGTCCTTTCATTTCTGCTGGGGTAGGAGGGTTCATCTTGAAGACCTGAGGCCAGCAACCCCGGGGGGTGGGGTGCGTTGCTGTGACCCGAATACCTCTGAGGACAGGATGAGGGCAAGGATGTGGCTACCATGCTGGCTGGCAAAGCCAGGCTAGGCTGGCTGGGAGTGGGGCCCACTTCCCAAGGGCAATCTAACAGGGGGCTTGTATTTGAGGAGCCCCTAGTACCTCCCTGGTGTCTGTTATCTGTCTTTTTTTTTTTTATTAAATTTTTTTTGACAGGCAGAGTGGACAGTGAGAGAGAGAGACAGAGAGAAAGGTCTTCCTTTGCCGTTGGTTGTCCCTCCAATGGCCGGCGCGGCTGGCACACTGCGCTGATCCGATGGCAGGAGCCAGGTACTTCTCCTGGCCTCCCATGGGGTGCAGGGCCCAAGCACTTGGGCCATCCTCCACTGCACTGCCTGGCCACAGCAGAGAGCTGGCCTGGAAGAGGGGCAACCAGGACAGAATCCGGCGCCCCGACTGGGACTAGAACCCGGTGTGCCGGTGCCGCAAGGCGGAGGATTAGCCTAGTGAGCCGCGGCACCGGCCACGTTATCTGTCTTGCATACTGCAGCCACACCAGATGCTGAATAGCTCTCAGCGAGTATTTCAGGAAATTCCCAGGAAATGTCTGGGTTCTGCCTTGTTTTGTTTGCCTGACACACACAGTGTCTGACCTTTTCACTGTGCCTCAAGACCTAGGGAATTGCCCCAGCACCGAAGGTGAGAGTGTGACATGGTACCTTTGTCGTTACCATCTATGAAGGTGCTTCCAAAGGTTCATACGGGGGCTGGTGCTGTGGCGTGGAAGGCTAAGTCTCCACCTGCAGCGCCAGCATCTCATATGGGCACCTGTTCAAGTTCAGCTGTCCCACTCCCATCCAGCTCCCTGCCAATGTACCTGGGAAAACAGCAGAAGATGGCTCAAGTCCTTGGGCTTCTGCACCCATGTGGGAGGTCAAACAGAAACTCCTGGCTCCTGGCTCTGGCCTAGCACAGCCCCAGCCATTGCAGCCATTTGAGGAGTGAACCAGTAGATGGAAGACCTCTCTCACTCTCTCTCTCTCTCCCTCCCTCTGTCTCTCTCTCGTTCTTTATCTCTGCCTTTCAAATAAGTAAATACATCTTTAAAAAAAAGTTCATATGAAAATGGAATTTAAAAAATTCATTTTGGCATAAAATAAAAGTCTTCAAAAAGTTCATTGAAGCAACTATGCATGAATTTCAAATTTTTTTGCACCAAAAGGAACTTATCTTTTAATGCTGCTTTCCATGAACTTTTTGAAGTACCTGTCTATAAGACTAACTTTTTATTTAAGATCAACTTCTAAACCAGTTGTATTTTTCTTTTTTTAAAAATATTTTATTGATTTAATTTGAGAGGTAGAGTTATAGAGAGAGGGAGAGACAGGGAGAGAGGTCTTCCATCCATTGGTTCACTCCCCAAATGATCACAACGTCTAGAGCTGGGCCGATCTGAAGCCAGGAGCCAGGAGCTTCTTCTGGGTCTCCCATGTGAGTGCAGGGGCCCAAGGACTTGGGCCATCTTGTACTACTTTCCCAGGCCATAGCAGAGAGCTGAATTGGGAGAGAAGCAGTTGGGACATGAACCGGTGCCCATATGGAATGCTGGCACTGTAGGTGGAGGCTTAACCTGTTACGCCACAGCACTGACTCTACCAGTTGGTATTTTTCAATCTAATACCATTCCATTTGAATATTTTAGTTTGTTCAAAAGATCATATTGTTTGGAATCTTCATTCTGAAAGTTTTTTTTTTCTTTTTAAGATTCATTTATTGGGCTGGCACTGTGGCATAGTAGGTTTTATTTCATTTGAAGGGCAGAGTGACAGAGAAGGAGAGAGACGCAGAGAGATCTTGCATCCACTGATTCACTCGACAAGTGGCTACAACAGCCAGATCTGGGCTAGGCTGAAGCTAGGAGCTTGGAACCCCATCTGGGTCTCCCACATGAGAGACCGAGTACTTGGACCATCATCCACTGCTTCCCCAGGCACACTAGCAAGGAGCTGTATGGGAAGTGGAGGAGTCAAGACTCAAGCCAGCACCCTGAGAGGGGATGCTGGCATTGCCAGCAGAGGCTTAACCCACTGTGCCACAATGCTGGCCCATGTTCTAGAAATTTTGCATCAAACTTTAGCCCAAAGTAGTAAGGTTTGGCTTTCTGAAGCCTGCCCTGCATCACTGTCTGGGAGAGGCAGAGCTGACTAGACTCTCCAGGCCTGGTAAAAATCTTCCTTCCCATGGATCACCAACTCCTTAAAATTACGACTTGTGTCACTCCCTCCAAGCAGTGTTCTTGCTTTAACCCTAGCATTCTCCACCTCAGGATGAAAATGCATAGCAGTGGACCCCATGGCAAAGCCTATTGATCCAAGTTAAATTAATTTTAAGAAAATCAAATTCTACTGCAGCTACAGTGACAGAGATTGTCAAAGATAAAGGGGTGAGTGTTGTGGCACAGAGGGTTACGCCGCAGCTTGTGATGCCGGCGTCCCATATGGGAACGCTGGTTCAAGTCCTGGCTACTCTGCTTCCAGTGCAGCTTTCTGCTGATGCTCCTGGGCCAGCAGCAGAGAATGGCGACTACTTGGCCCCCTGCCACCCTTGTGGGAGACCAGGATGGAGTTCTGGGCCTTGCTTCCGGCCGGCCCAGCCCCTAATGTCATGGTCATTTGGGGGAGTGAACCAGTGGATGGAAGATTTCTCTCCCTTTGTCTCTCCCTCTGTCTGGCACTGCCTTTCAAACAAACAAACAAACAAATAAATCTTTTTATTTATTTATTTATTTACAGAGTGGACAGTGAGAGAGAGAGAGAGACAGAGAGAAAGGTCTTCCTTTGACGTTGATTCACCCTCCAATGGTCGCTGCGGCCAGCGCACCGCGCTGATCCAATGGCAGGAGCCAGGTACTTCTCCTGGTCTCCCACGGGGTGCAGGGCCCAAGCACCTGGGCCATCCTCCACTGCACTCCCGGGCCACAGCAGAGAGCTGGCCTGGAAGAGGGGCAACCAGGACAGAATCCGGTGCCCCGACCGGGACTAGAACCCGGTGCGCCGGCGCCGCTAGGCGGAGGATTAGCCTAGTGAGCCGCGGCACTGGCACAAATAAATCTTTAAAAAAAAAAAAAAAAACATGCACCACATTCAACATCAATTCATTTATGTTGTTTTCTACCATGTAACCACCATGAAGTGCACAATATCACTTTTTTATTTCTAACTATTCTGGTGAGCCTTAAATAAATGCCTTTTCATTGTCTACTGATTTGCCCCAATAGACTTCTCATCATTGTATTTAGTAGGTTTAAGGAAGGAGATGGAAACATATCAATAACTTGCCTCTGTATATGAAATTTTGAGCTCTAGTGGACAATTATGTTAATTGGAGGATGAAAATGAATTATATGAATTATAACCTCTTCACCAAAAAAACTTGGGTGAGAGAGCTGTAGTTCTCAGCATTCCAACTGCCACAAGCAGATGTAGAAACAATATTTGAAATACTTAAATAAATTAATGATCATTTATATTTTTCATAGTATTTAATATTATAAATTATAAACAAAATTTATAATAACCATCAAATATTTAAATACCTTATAAATAGCTATACCTCAGCCAAGGGTGCATTAGAATATGACTTTTTAGAAATATTTATTTTATTTATTTGAAAGGCACAGTTAAAGAAAGGCAGAGGCAGAAAGAGAGAGAGGTCTTCCATCCACTGCTTCACTCCTCAAATGCTGCAATGGCTGGAGCTGGGTGGATCCAAAGCCAAGAGCCTGGAGCTTCTTCTGGGTCTCTTGCATGGATTCAGGGACCCAAAGACTTAGGCCATCTTCTGCTGCTTCCCCAGGCACATTAGCAGGGAGCTGGATCGGAAATGGAACAGTCGGGACTTGAACCGGTGCCTGTTTGGGATGCTGGCATTGCAGGTGGCGGCTTTACCAGCTACGCCACAGTGCCAGCCCCTAGAATGTGATTTTTAAAAACTAATTTCACCTGCCTTTTAGCCAACAGTGTGTTCCTCTATATTGTGATGTGGGTTTCTTTTCATAAAGCCCCATTCATCTGGCTGAACTCTGAAAAAAAGTTAGAAGGCCATCTACCTGTGAGAGTTCTTTGTCTTTAATGCCCACGGAGATGCCCATCCATTCTGCTTAACCATCAGGGATCAAGGAACTCTCCCAGGGCCCTCAGTGCCCTTCAGGAGAATGCTCTGCGTTGTAGCTGATCCTACAGCACAGCTAACTACGCAGCCATCTGAGCTAGTAAGCTGCAGGCCATCTGGCTTCTGTCTGTCTCTAGTCAAAGAGAATGGCGCTGCTGGGCTCAGACCAGCTAGTAGGGATCCAAGGTCTCAGATTAGGCCATGCTGGAAGGAGACCCTGGGGACCTGGGGCCTGGGGCCTGGGGCCTGGGGAAGGGAGCTCTGTTCATTTAGGGTATTGCTTTACCATCTTCCTGACCATTGATGAGTAGGTGCTGCAAAGTAGATCTGGAATCTTGCCAAAATGCATTTTCTGTTTTTAGCACTGGACACACAGGGACTTTTTCTCTGTTAATTTTCTTAAATCCCCCCTGAATCGTTCGATTGCTAAATGCCACCTCTTTAGCTAGGCCTGCCTTTCCCAGCCTTTCACATCATGTATTTGTTTACTTGTTCATTATCTGCCTCACCCTCCAGAAGCCCATGTCTAATAAGTAGCCATGGGCCACATGGGGCTGTGGAGCCCTTCACAGATCTTCCGGCCAAGGGAGGTTGTGTTGTAAGTGTGAACACCAGACTTCAAAGACTTTGTGAAACGAATGCAAAATCGCTTACGAATAGCTTTTTAATGGGGTGAATTTCACAGTATATCAATGAATACCTTGATAAAGCTAAAATACTTTAATATTGATTCATGTGAAAATAAGATTCTGTATGTATTGTGTTCAATAGCTATATTATTGAAATTAATTTCACCTGTTTTCTCTTTTACTTCTTTTAATGTGGCTATTAGAGAATTTAAAATTGTGCAGGTGGGTTGCACGCCTAATCTTTCTATTGGAAAGTGCTGCTCTAGATTGGACGTTCCGCAGTGGCAAAGGTATCCTTGGACTGCTGCGTTGCTGAGCCTCCAGCACCTCGGACAGTGCCTGGCACAGCCTTGCACTTGCTTTGCCCTTGTGGAATGAAAACCGGAAGCCTGTATGTTCATTTGTCCTGTCTGACTCTTTATCGAGTGCCAACTCATTTCAGACATTTTTTGGGTGCTTAGGATACACTGGGCAAAACAGACCAAAAAAACTTTCATGTGTCTTCAAATACAGATTCATTGCGGAAGACTAGATGTTTCCATTCAAGGCCAAGCATGATAAGGACCAGCCCTCATTTTCTATGTTCCTAAAAAGTTGAGAGTGAATGGTTTAGTGGTTCCTAACCTGCCTTGTATATTTAGAGGTACCCAAGGAAATTTTATAGACTACTGAAACCAGAATTTCTAGGAGTCACAGGCTTATTTTTATTTATTTTATTTTATTATTTTTAAATATTTATTTATTTACTTGGAAGAGTTACATAGAGAAAGAAGAGAGGCAGAGAAAGAGAGAGAGAGGGAGAGAGGTCTTCCATCTGCTGGTTCACTTCCCAGTTAGCCGCAACACCCAGAGCTGTGCCTGTCTGAAGCCAGGAGCCAGGAATTTCTGGGTCCCCACGTGGGTGCAGGGGCCCAAGGGCTTGGGGTATCTTCCTCTGCTTTCCCAGGCCATAGCAGAGGGCTGGATCAGAAGTGGAGCAGCCAGACTAAAACTGGTGCCCATATGGGATTCTGGCACTGCAGGCGGTAGTTTTACCTGCTACGCCATAGCGCCTGCCCTGGCTTGTTTTTAAAGCTCTTTGCTATCCTGTGGAGACAGATGTCTTTAAATACACTGACTGTGAAAGCTTAGTTAGGTCATTAAGTCTCCGGCTCTTTACTGGTTGTAAGACGAATTATCCATACAGCCCCTGATGGCATTTCTCTTAATGTGCACTCTGGCTGATGCTGAGAGTCTAATAAATATCGATTCCTTTTATCATTTCCCTCCCCTCCTCTCTTCCCATGTAACAGAAAGTGGTTTCCTCTAACAGACAGGCTTGAAAGTGAATCTCACACAGAGGAGTATCATTTCTGTGTCTCATGAGCACTCCATATACAAAAACACAAAAATGAAACAAAACAAAACAAACCCTGAGCTGACCATTTGGTGTTGCAAAGGAATGCAAACTACAATCAAAGCTGAAGAGAGAACAAAAAACAGAGGCTTCACTTGCCAGTGGGGTCTAGGTTTTTGGGGTAATGCACGAGTGTATATGGTTACGAACTCACCTTTTTTTTTTTTTTTTAAACATTTACTTATTTGTTTGAAAGTCAGAGCTACAGAGAGAGCAGGAGAGATAGAGAAACATCTTCCATCTGCTGATTCATTCCCCAGATGGCTGCAATGGCCAGGGCTGGGCCAGGTGGAAGCCAGGGGCCTGGAGTTTCATCCTGGTCTTCCACTTGGGTGCAAGGGCCCAACCACTGGGTCATCTTCCGCTGCTTTCCCAGGCGCATTAGCAGGGAGCTGGGCCAGAAGTGGAGCAGCTGAGACTTGAACCAGTGCCCATATAGGATGCTGGCACTGCAGGTGGTGGCTTGACCTGCTTTGCTACGACGTGGGCCCCAACTCACCTTTTCAGTGCCTATGGGGCCTCCGACTAGAAGGACTTGCATCGATCCCAGAAGTAAAACGCTAAAACATTGACAGTATAATCACGACCAGCCAGTCTCAGCTCAACGACACTGGTGGCTCAACGACAGACAGGGATATGCCACTGTGGCGTCTCCATGGGCCACAGGGAGCGGGATCTGGAGTGCTGCAGGAGGACAGGGCTTACCTGTTTTTCTCCATGCTGCCCAGGGCCCCACTCTTCCTCCTAAGATCTACATGGTAAGTACCGCTTTCTGTGCCCTGCACTCCCGCTGGTGCTCTAATCTGGACCTGCAATTGCCATGAGAAGGCTGTGAGGACCACAACCCTAAGGGGAGTGAATCTGAGCTCTAGAACTAATCAGAGCCAATAGGTGCTCCTGGGCAAAGCTGCTTCTTCAGGCCACGGAAGGGAGCATGTGTTCCACACTGGAGGTGGCGATAAGGAGATGCTGGAAACAGAGCAGCCCTGCCCTCCCTACCCATGTTTAGCTTTATTGTATTTGTGCCTTTCACTGATGTTGAGGTAGTCATCATCCCCATTCCACCAGGGGGAAATTGAGACCCAAAGAGGTGAAGCATTCTGCTAATAAAAAGCTGGAGTCAGGATTCAGATCTTATCCTGTAATTCATGAATGCTTTTTAAAGTTTGTTTTTGATTATTAAATGTTGAGTAGGTATAAAGTAATATTAAAGATCCATAGGTAAGGTATAAAGAGTCATACAGAGGTGGGTATTTGGCCTAGTGGTCAAGACATGTGCCATTATCAGGGCACCTGGGTTTGATTTCCTGGCTCCAGCTTCCTGCCAATGCAGACCCTGGGAGGCAGCAGATAAAGGCTCAATTAATTGGGTCGCTGCCACCCCCATGGGAGACCCAGGTGGAATTCTCCACTCCCAGCTTCAGTCAGGCCCAGCTCAATCCACTGCTGGAATCTGGGGTGGGGAGTAAGTGAACCAGCAGACGGGAGTTCTGTCTGTCCCTCTGAAAAATATGAATATATATGAAGAATAAGAATACAAAGAACCCCTCTGTGTGTATCCAATGCAAAATTAAGAAAGAAGCCCCATGTGTCCTCCCTCCGTGTTGTATCTCATCCGTTCATCATCCCTCTGGGATAACTGCGCTTTTGAACTTTACGGTTATTATTCCATTGCTCCTTGTTACGTGTTTCTCCACCTCCTGAAGTCCGACTTGGTTGCTTTTGCATGATTTTGTGTTTGATATACGTGTATGGGGACTCAGACTGTTCAGCGCCCCTCTGTACCTTGCTTGTATGTTCGGGAATAAGCCAGCCCTCACTGGCACAGTACCTGGCTGGCTTTTACTTGAATGGATCAGGCCTTTGGGCTGATTATTATCTCAAGCACTCATTACCCTGAGCCTTTAGATGGTATGACTGTCACCTTTGTTCTTTTTTTTTTTTTAAGATTTATTTTATTTATTTGAAAGAGTTACAGAGAAAGAGAGAGATCCTCTGTCTGCTGGTTCACTCCCCAAATGGCTATAATGATTGGAGCTGGGCTGATCCAAAGCCAGGAGCCAGGAGCTTCTTCTGGTTCTCCCAAGTGGATGTAGGGGCCCAAGGACTTGGACCATCCTCTGCTGCTTTTCCAGGTGTATTAGCAGGGAGCTGGATCAGAAGTGGAGCATCTGGGACTCGAACTGGCGCCCATATGGGATGCCAGCGCTGCAGGCCTGGGTTTTAACCGCCCACCCTGATCTCTGTTCTTGAGCTACAAGTTAACTGCTGGATTCCATTGTATGGTCATACCATACCTTTTGTCAGTTTTACAGTTGATGAACATTTAGGTTTTATTCATGTGTTTTTGCTATTAAAATATGAATAGTCTTGTGCATGTCTTCTAAATGCATGTGTGCAGACATTTCTAGGTATTTACCCAGGAGATAAATTGCTAGGCAACAGGGTGCATGAAATCTTAACTAGATAATTCCAAATCGTTTTTTTTTAAATATTTATTTTATTTATTTGAAAGACAGAGTTAGAGAGAGAGGCAGACCCAGAAAGAGAGAGTTACTCCATCCACCAGCTTATTCCCCAAATGGCTGCAAAGGCCAGAGCTGAGCTGATACAAAACCAGGAGCTAGGAGCTTCTTCCAGGTCTCCCACGTAGGTGCAGGGGCCCAAGGACTTGGGCCATCCTCCACTGCTTTCTCGGGCCATAGCACAGAACTGGATCGGAAGTGTAGCAGCTGGGACTCAAACTGGCACCCATATGGGATTCCAGCACTGTGGGCCAGGGCTTTAACCTGCTGCACCATAGCACCAGCCCCAAACTGCTTTTCAAAACAACCAGTGGTGTATTTGAGTTCCAGTTGTTGTATGCCCTTTTTATTGTCTGATATCATGTGACTTAATTTGCATGTTGATGATTTTATAAATGAGATGGAACGTCCTAGCCTGTGTTTACTGGCCATTTCTGCTTCCTGGTCTTTGGAGTGTGTGGCCGTGCCTTTATTGCTTAAGTAACTTTTCTATTGTGCTGTCACTTTCTTATTGACTTGTAGAATATTTTGTATATTCTTTCTCCTAATCCTTTGCCAGTGTTATGTGCTGCAATGCCTTCCCCCCATTACCCTTCACAGCTTCTCTGACTATTAACATTTGCATTAGTGTATAGTTAAAATTGCTAAACCAACATTAACTCTAGTCCATAGTTTACCTAAGGATTCACTTTGGTGTTATATGTTCTATGGGTTTTAACAAATGCACAATGTCCTGTGTCCTTCACTCTATATACCATACTATTCTGTATAGAGACACTATACTGTAGTGTGACACAGTTAGTTTCACTGCCCTAAAAGTTCCAGCTATTCCAACTACTGATTCCTCTCTCCTTTTTCACTAAAACCCTCTTTTTACTGTCTTGGTAATTTTCCTTTTCCAGAATGTTATATAGTTGGAATCCCTTTCAGACTAACATCTTTCAATAAACAATATATCATTAAAGCTCCTCCCTCTGTATCTTTTTGTAGCTTCATAGTTCATTTCCTTTTATTACTGAACAATACTGCATTGCATGCATGGATTACCAGTTTGTTCATCCATTAACCTACTGAAGGACATTTTGGTGGCATCCAATTTTTTGACAGTTATAGATAAAGCTATTGTGGACATTCCATGTGTTAGTTTTTGTGTAGAAATGTTTTCGGTTCATTTGGGGGAAATACTAAGGAGGATGATTGGTTGTGTTAAGGCTACTTTTAGCTTTGTAAGAAACTGTAGAGCTGTCTTCTGAAGCAGCTGTACCATTTTGCCTTCTCACTGCTGGTGACTGAGAGTTCCTGCTGTGCCTCATCCTTGCCAGTATTTGGTGCTGTCGGGGTTTTGAATTTTAGATGTTCTAACAGGCATGTGATTGCATCTCATTGTTTTAATTTGCAGTTACTAAATGACGTCATGATGAGTATATTCTTCCTATGCTTACATGTGTCTCTTCTTTGTAGAGGTGTCTGTTAAGATCTTTTGCTCATTTTTTTGTAAAGATTTATTTTATTTATTTGAAAGTCAGAGTTACATAGAGAGAGAAGGAGAGGCAGAGAGAGAGAGAGAAAGAGAGAGAGGTCTTCCATCTACTGGTTCACTCCCCAACTGGCTGCAACAGCCGGAGCTGCGCCTATCCGAAGGCAGGAGCCAGGAGCTTCTTCTGCATTTCCCATGCGGGTGCAGGGGCCCAAGGACTTGGGCCATCTTCCACTGCTTTCCCAGGCCATAGCAGAAAGCTGGATGCAAAGCGGAGCAACCGGGACTTGAACCAGCGCCCATATGGGATGCCGGCACTGCAGGCAGCGGCTTTAGCTGCTATGCCACAGTGTTGGGCTGGAGAGCAGAAATTTTAATGTAACAAAACCCAACTTACCATTTTTTTCTTTCATGATCCTGCTTTTTGCATTATATCACCAAAACCAAGGTCACCTAGATTTTCTCCTATGCTATCTTCTGGAAACAGTTTTGCCATTTACATTTAGGTCTGTGAGCCATTTTGAGTGAGTTTTTATGAGGTGATCAGATACTAGTTCTATGTCTAGATTCATTGTGTGTCTCTGTGTGAATGTCCAGTTTCCAGAAGCATGGTTGAAGAGATTCCTTCTTCTACTGAACTACTTTTGTTCCTTTTTCAGTGATCAATTGACTCTACAAGGGTACTTTGAAAAGCTTGTGAAAAATGGAACTAAATAAGTTTATTCTGGTGAAAAAGTGTTTGAAATCCATGCATAGTTTTTTCACAATACACAATTTCCATGAACTTTTTGAAGATGCCTTAGTAGTTGTGTTGGTCCATGTATAGGCCTTCTTGTATCTGTCCCACTCATATATTTGCTCTTCAATGCCACACTATCTTGATTACTGTAGCTTGAAATCAGATAATCAGTTCTTCAGTTTTGTCTTCAGTTAGCATTGGCTGTCCCTGGTCCTTTGCCTCTCCATGTGACCTTACAATCAATTTCTTGCTAGCTATCTATCGGAAAATGTGATGAAATTTTGACTGAGACTGTATTGAATCCACAGATCAAGTTGAGAAGAACTAAAATCTTAATATCAAATCTCCCTAGCCACAAACATGAAAAAATCTTTCTACTGATTTAGCTCTTCTTTGATTTCTTCCTTCAGAGCTTTGTAATTTTATTTACATAATTTTGTACATATTTTGTTAGTTAGATTTGTGGCTAAATATTTCCATTTCTTGAGGATACTAATATAAATGATGGTGTGCTTTTACATTCCAATTTTTTCATTGCTGGCATTTAGGAAAGCGATTGACTTTTGTATGTTAATATTGTATCCTGTAGCCATGCTATAATGTTGGGTTGTCTCTTTATTCCCTTATGTCATCTTTAGATGAACAGAAGTAGTAAATTAAAAACAGGTACAGTAGGTATGACGTTGTGACACCGGGGGTTTAGCTGCCACTTACGATGTTGGCATCTCATATTAAAGTGCTGGTTCCCTGCCCACTCACCGGGGAAGGCAGCAAAAGATAGCCCAAGTACGTGGGCCCCTGCCACCCATGTAAGAAACCAGGATGCAATTCCCGGTTTCTGGCTTTGGCCTGGCCCAGCCCTAACTGTTGCAGCCATTTGGGGGGTGAACCAGCAGGCGAAGGATCTCTCTCTCTCTCTCTCTCTCTTTGTCCTTCTGTCTGTTTCTCTCTCTCTCTCTCTCATTGTTTCTCCCTTTCCTTTCTGTCACTCTGCCTTTCAAATAAGTAAATAAATAA